CCAGGGAGTTAGGGCTTTATTTATGTTACTGTCATTCTGCTGCCGTTTTTTCAGTGCTTCCCTGCCCAGGGAGGAGGCAGACTAGCCACAGTCTGCCTGCAGAGGCTTTGCTGAGCTGCTGTGGGCTCCTCCCAGCTGCAATATTGAGTTCCCTGCAGTCCTGTTTATAGGGATATAGTTAGAACTGCCAAGGCAATGGCAGCCCACCTCTGTAATGGCGGACTCTCTCCATAATGGCAGACTGCCTCAGTAATGGCGGATGCCCCTGCACCACAGAGCTGGACCATCCCAGGTTCAGCTGTACTTGCTGTGAAACTCTGAATGCAGAGCGTTTCAAATTGTTGGTTTTTTTGGGGGGTAGGACCTGATCAACTGGCTCCCTGACTCAGAACCCCCCCCCCCCTTTTTTTTTTTTTTTTTTCCACTTGAATGGGCAACTCTGTCGCCCAGGCATTCCAGTTGCCTGTTGAAAAGGCCCTGGGATCTGTGTGATTTCCCATGAGGTGACCAACTGCACTGGCTTAAACAGCTGCGCAGATTCGTGGCACTTTTTTGCCCGGGAATCTCCTAGCCTGACTCCTTGTTTCACTCCCCTTTTTATAGTTGTTGAATCAGTTGAATGGGTGACTCTGTCTCCCAGGAGCTCCAGTTGCCAGCTACAGTGGCGCTTGGACCTGTGTATTTTGTGCAGAGACCAACCATGCCAGCTAAAACAGCCATGCTGGTGACCCGTGAGACTCCTCCACCTGGGAATCTCCTGGTCTGTGGGTAATAAAAATCCGTCTGGAAATGCAGCAATCACTAACCCGCTGCACTTTCGTTGGGAGCTGCAATCCTGAGTTGCTCCTAATCAGCCATCTTGGATCTATACATGCTTCTTAAATGAATCATGCAAGTTAACTGAATTATACTATGAAGCAGTAATTTGCTTAGCACATAATTAGTTTATTACGAGCTAAAAAATGTAAGAAAATAATTCATATGGGTATATTCAGGAGGTAATTATTTGCATAAACCACTTCTTGTGGGAGAAAATGAGAGTTTATAGTAGTATCTAAGTAGGTTGACATTACAAATAGCATTAGTTGATTTTATTGTTTGCCAAAAAGCTAAAGATAAATGTATAAATTTAGTTATTCTAAAGAAGAGGGAAAAAAACCTTGTGAGACAATAATTGTTGAATGAAAACTCACACATAGCTAACTAAGCAGAAAGCTGTAACTAAATATACTGACAATTGAAGACACAGATGGACTGAAAGACCAGTGATTACAGAAATGATATCTGTGAGGAAAAAAACAGGTGGCAATAAATCATTTTTAAAATGTGAGGATGAAGGGAGAAACAAAAAAGCCTAACTGGTCAGTTAAATATATGCCTCAGCCAAGAAAGAAAAGAAACAACATCAAATACAGTAAAGTTCACTTTCGTTTTTCATAGCCCTAACAATACAGGTTAATTAATACTTATGCTATAGTTTTTTAAAAATACTTCTGTGATACAGAGTTTAATTTTATTACTATAAGACATTCAATTAGTTAACCATGGTCATCTACCACTACCTGAAAGAACATTATTAGTACAGAGAGGGAAAACTAGAACTTTCCATCAACTTTCCACCTAGAGAAAGAATTGGTCGCCAGAATCCTAAAGAGTAATGCATGGCTTATAAAGGCATATTTATTAGAACATGAGTTGGGGCTAATAAAATATTTAAGAAATTTTAATCTAAAATTCCGGCTGAATGATATTAGAAAGTATACTGGAACCCTCTTTGCTACTGATAATCTATTTCTAATTTATTTCTTTTTTATTTATGGCATAAGTTCTCAAAATAACACATCAAAACATATACATCCTTAAACATTAAAAATAATATAAATGTAAGCAATATTTTTAAAATGCAGTTATCATGCAGCTATAAAAAACAATGAGTTTGTGTCCCTTGTAGGGACATAAAAGAATCTGGAAACCATCATTCTCAGCAAACTGACACAAAAACAGAAAATCAAACCTTACATATTCTCACTCATAGGTGGGTGTTGAACAGTGAGAAAACATGGAAGTAGGGAGGGGAGCATCACACAATGGGGTCTGTTGGGGAGCACTATGGGAGGGACAGTGGGGGGTGGGGAGGTCAGGGAGCGATAACATGGGGAGAAATGCCTGATATAGGTGATGGGGTAATGGAGGCAGCAAACCACCTTGCCATGTATGTACCTATGCAATAATCATGCGTGATCTGCACATGTACCCCAGAACCTAAAGTACAATTTAAAAATGCAGTTATCATTAGATACATTATGTATATTATGTTACATGTTATATAAAAATTCATTTATCTATTTACATATTAAACAACTATTAAGGCTGAATTTGGTATTGCATTCCTGTAACCCCAGAACTTTGAGAGGCTGAGGCAGGCATATCACTTGAGCCCAACAGTTAAAGACCAGCCTGGGCAACAAGGCAAAAGCCCATCTCTAAAAAAATACAAAACTGAGCCAAGCAAGGTGACAAAGGCTTACAGTCTCAGCTACTTGGATAGCTGAGGTGGGAGGATCACCTGAGCCCAGGAAGTGGAGATTACAAGTGAGCCAAAATCCCACCACTGCACTCCAGCCTGGGTGACAGAATGAAACTCCATCTAGAAAAAGCAACAATTACAATGCTTCTTACTTGGAAGACTGTACTCCAGGTACTCCGGGATACACACAAATATGTCTATGACCTCCAGTAGCTTGTAGTATACAGGAACTTCAAATGATTATTTAAACAACTAAATATAAAAATTTCTGAAATGTTAATTTCCTAATGTAATATAAAGACTTTGAGTGGATATTTTAAATAAACTACAATGACAAAATTATGGTGTTAAAGTCTTACCATATTGGTGTTAAGACTCTGCTTATGTAACTGGTTATTTGCAGTAAAATACATGTTATTCATTAGATGAAGTGTTTTGTATATACCCTTTATCAACAACTTACAAAACACAAAAATCCATTTGTAATACAAATTTTGGTAACAAATTTAAATTTCTACATTTCTACAATTTATATTTTTAAAGCAGATACAATCTGTTTATGTTGCCCAGGCTGTTCTCAAACTCCTGGGCTCAAGTAATCCTCTTGCCTCAAACCCCCAAGTAGCTGGGACTACAGCTGTACATCACCATACTCAGCTAGTTTTCTACAAATTTTAATATTATTTTAGTCTCACCACAGAACTAGTATAAGTAGGGAAAAAAAGTCTCTCCTAAAAACTATATGATACCAAAATAATAAGTGTCCAAAAAAAAGCTATATGCTACGTGTTGTACAGTTTTGCCAATAAAAGGTACCAGGGAGATTCCATGATAACTACAAGTAATTTGATTCACTGAAGATATATACAGGCATAAATATTATGAGAGTAACACTAGTCTGATTTAAAAGCCAACATTAATATTTATCCAAACAAATCTTAACCAAATTTTATATTTCCTTTATTGGGGAAAGCGTTTTCTAATGTGCTTCTCCTGTCATAATGTAATTTCCAGTTCATTTTCTTTCAGCCTCACCCTGTCACAGTACTTAATCTTTTGTTAGTTGACAAGGTTAAACAAATTTTTTTAAATCAGCTAGCCATGTTTATGCTTTTCTCTGACCAACTTTGTATTACCAACATAAAAAAAGATAAACCACTGCTAAATTTTAAAAGTAAATAATATGCAAAACTTGACTGAGAAAATTAATTTTACAAGAGGCCACTTTACCTTGGTGGTAACAGTAAAGTTGTCATCATCTGTCTTAGGGCATGGATCAACACACACAGTTCATGGGAAATGCTTTAGAGCAAAAATATACAATGAAAATTCCTTACAAATTTTTAAACTGCCGGTTCATATTCAGCTTCTCCCTCCAAAAAACAAAACACAATCTGGAAAAAGGTCAGCTATCTGTACATTAAATAATGTTTCTTGATACAGTTAAAATATTGCCTCTGTTCTAAAAATAGATTTTGGTTACCTATTTTTGCACCTCTACCTGTCTAAATATATACAATAGTCAATGAAAACTGACCTTGAGCTCCATAATGAATAGTGACAGCCAATATATACCAGAGCCTGATGATAATTTACCCTGACAAATTATGTATCCTGAAGTTGTAGTTAAAATTCAACTAATAAATGACATAACTTTTGTTACCTAAACTGGAAGAAACCTGATGACCTAAAACAAGGTAGAAAGACCCATTGTTTCTTGTCCATTATCTAACTCTGGTTAAAAGACTAATCTGTGTCACTTCAAATTGGCAGTCTTGATTCCTCAACATAGATACCACTTAAGAAGGTCCCATTGCTTTCCTTTGTCCCAAAACAGTACAGGAAATCACCTGCAATATTTGAAATGTGTGACTGCTAAGTGCACAAAACTCTTAACAACAAAGGTGTATGTATTCTTTGAGAATACTCTTCCCAGAAAGATCAATACATTAACAGCAATAAAAATTCAATTACACTCACTATATCCATCCTTTTTCAGGTCCACATTAGGAAGCCCTTAAATCTTTCACAGGTAGGGCTGGGCGTGGTGGCTCATGTGTAAAATCCCAGCTCATTGGGAGGCCAAGGTGAGCAGATCACTTGAGGTCAGGAGCTCAAGACCAACCTGGCCAACATGGTGAAACCCCGCCTCCACTAAAAATGCAAATATTAGCCAGACGTGGTGGCAAACACCTGTAATTTCAGCTATTAGGGAGGCTAAGGCAGGAGAATTACTTGAACACTGGAGGTGGAAGTGGAGGTTGTGGTGAGCTGAAATCATGCCACTGCACTCCAGCCTGGGTGACAGAGCCAGACTCCCTCTCCAAAAAAAAAAAAAAAAAAAAAAAAAAAACACCTTCATAGGCACTCAGAGATCCAAGAAGAGAGACTGCCAGAAAAACAGAGTCCTGGTAGTTGTACCTCTTGTTTCCCTAAGTACTATCTAAATATCTTTCTTCCTATGGGTTTCCAGATTCCACTTGTGCAGGGCTCCATGGCAGTCTCCAATCTTCACTCTATGAAAGCACAGATTCCTGAAAGGATGGCCTCACATGACCAGGAGTGGCTCTCTACATCCCTGCTCCTGAATAACAAGCTAACTGGAGTCTCCATCAACTGCCCCAACATAGACACACCTCCAATTACCCAACTGAACTTCATGACGGATTGGCCATTCAATCATGCCCCTGACCCAGCCTCCGTGAACATTGGAAGGCCAACAGTGAATTACGAAAAGAGGAGGAGGTGAGGAGGCACCTGTGCTGGGCTACAGATCTATGTAGTTCAGCAATCTCCAGCCCCTAGTACTCAAGAAGCTGTAAGCCACCACTCTGTAAGACAGAATGGAAGCACGTGATACCACATTTCTATCTGCTGTAGAGACTCTTCCCAGTGTCTCAAAATATTTTAGCATCTTTCAGTAAAAATCTTCAAGTTTGTCAGGTATTGATCAAAAAAGGCAGCAACCTGTTTAAAGCTCCCTTGAACCCTCTATTTTAATGTGCCTTTGTAAATTCCCAACATGATGTGTTCATCTTTGTAATTTATTAAACTTGTCATAAACTCCAATATTTTGATCTCTTACTGAAGAATTCGTATTCCTATCCAATAAAGTATTGTTTCTCTTCAAAGTTGGCCTTCCCTGCTTGTTCCATTCTTAGCCACTGCCATTGGGTTCACCAGTTAATTTCATTCTCATTCTATCCACTGGGTGTACCAGACTCACTCCCCCTTTGTATCATCATCATCGTCATCATTATCTGAGACAGAGGCTCACTGTCACCAGGCTGGAGTGCGATGGCACAATCTCGGCTCACTGCAACCTCCACCTCCTGTGTTTAAGCAATTCTCCTGCCTCAGCTCCCAAATAGGTGGAACTACAGGTGCCCGCCACCATGCCCAGCTAATTTGTTTTGTATTTTTAGTAGACTGATTTTCACCATTTTGGCCACGATGGTCTGGATCTCTTGACCCCATAATCCGCCTGCCTCAGCATTCGAAAGTGCTGGGATTACAGGTGTGAGCCACCATGGCTTGGCTGTAATCTAAGCTATTTGGGAGGCTGAGGCAGGAGAATCGCTAGAACTCAGGCAGCAGAGGTTGCAGTGAGCCTGGACTTCACCGCTGCACTCAACCCTGGGCGGGAGAGCAAGACTCTGTGAACAACAACAAAAAATGCCCATATAAAAAAAGAAAGGTGAGTACTGGGCTTTAAAATGAGTTTAAATCTCATTTCTGCTACTTCCTATGTCCAAAAAGGAAACTATCCTAATCTGTTTGAGTCTCAGTTTCTTTATCTAGAAAAACACTTGCCAGAATGTTTAACACATGTTGAAGTACTAGTGGTTATTTTAATTAGTCCTATGATTCCTTAAAATTCTGAAATTCTGCATGCTTTTGATTGTATAGGAGAATTGGGGATACATAGCAGAATTTGAAAAAATGATAGAACAAAGAAACATGAAAAGCAGAGAAGAACTCTTAAAAACATCAAGAGAAGGTTAGGGAAATGTCATGGAAAAAGGAGAAAAGACGACTAAAAAAAACTATGTGGAAGCAGGCAGAAATACTAGCCTAAAGGGAAAGCCAAACTGGGAAGTCAAATAATTGCTCTCTAAGACTTGTCTAATCTTGGTTTTGTAAAATTTACAATCCTATGGCCAAACCTTTACACTGCCCTAAAGCCTTTGATGGTAAAGATAAGATATTGGTTACCACTGAAATTGTCAAATTTATTCAGACAAACTCTTAAACCAACCTCATTTCTCAAAATAACCTTAAATGAGAGTTAACAGATAACTAGATTTGACTGTATTCATTAATCTGATTCTAACATATATCTTGATCCAGTTGCTGCACGGATCTTTATCCATTTAGGCTGAGGAGCAAAAGAAAGATTTGGAAGCCAGGCAGGCTGATGGTTTAACTGCGAATCAGCTACTTTTTTAACTATGGGGTCATGAGCCAATTAATTAACCTCTCTAAACCACAGCTGCCTATTTAATAAACAGTAGGTTATAAGAACACAGATGTTGTGATGGCTTTGTGAGATAATGCATAGCACATAATAGGGTGGTTAGCCCAGAATACAACACTTAACAGATACTAGTTTCTTCCATCGATATTTCCTTAGTTAATATAATTTTTTAAATCTGTAAAATCCTACCTGTCTGCAGATGCGTCAGAACTCCCAGGATCTATTAAAGGAAAAGGTAAAATGCATTGTAAATCAATAATATACAGAATATTGAAAACATAAGAAGGCACAGTCATGCATGCCTGTAATCTCAATTACTTGGGAGACTGAGGCAGGAGGATCACTTGAGAAACCCAGAAGTTTGAGACCAGTTTGGAAAACATAGCAAGACTCTACTTTCATTAAAAAAAATTATGCACCCTTGTATGCATGCTTTAGACCATTTTTCTTTCAAGTATAGAACTGATGCTTCCTCTGGAAGCATACCTGAGACCTTATTAGAATTAATATAAATTATACCTACTGGTATGTGACTAGTACAGTAAGAACTCTTATTTCCCTTACTTTGTATTTATTAAATGCAAAAGAAAAACAAAAGGAAAAAGTATATCTTAAATGACTACATTTAATTACCATAGAACTTTAACTTTTTAACTAGTCAAAAATATATTCACTGTATTATTTGAACTATATGATGCTTCTGAAAAAAGTAAAACTATGGAGATAGAAAAGATCAGTGGTTGGAGTTGCTAGGGAGAAAGGGAGAGATGAACAGGCATAGCATCGAGAAGTTTTATGGCAGTGAAACTGTTCTATCATATTAAAATAATAGATACATGTCATTATACATTTGTCTGAAGTCACCAAATGTGCAGTATTAAGAATGAAGCCTGATGTCAACTATGAACTTTCAATGGTTATAATGTGTCAATGTAGGTTCATCAGTTGTAACAAATGTACCACTTTGATAGAAAATACTAATAATGGGAAGGGCCATGCATGCTTGGGAGGCATGGAAAATAATGAGAAATCTCTGTACCTTCCTCTCAATTTTGCTGTGAACCTAAAACTCCTCTAAGAAATAAAGTTATTGATCTAAAAAAGATACTGATTGTCTATGCATCCCAGAATTTCCAGAACAAAAACTAAAATGAAAAATAAAAGATATTCACTGAACCTGTTATTATGACCTATTTAAGCAAGACATGGTGACCGCCAAATTTGGAGATAATTAAAGACCAAAGTAATAGCATGTAGGCATTATTTCTCAAATTGGAGTATATAAAATATGTAAAATGAATAAATTTAATTGCATGCTCAGGCAAGAAAATATTGATAAAATGATTATTTTATCTTATTTCACAATTCTAAACAGTGATTTAGCACAATATGAAAACTAGATTATTCATGTAATGAAAATAAAAGACAATTTTTATTCTAATTTTAACTCAAATTATTAGGCTTATTTAACAATTTTACTGAAAGGCTAATGAGATAGGGACAGACTGTAATTACCTAATACTGCTATGGTAACTTACAAAGAAATGCCTGTTAGTCACCAAAACTCAAAAAGGTAACCAGCATTGCAACTAACGATGGATCATACAACAGAAACTAGTACCAAGTTACCGTATATTATTTGCTGTTAAAATGAAATTTTAAAACAACACCAAAAATTAAGTTGGGGCTAAAGCTTTTGTGCAGAAAAGATTTCATATAACAGGCAAAAGACTGACATCCTTAGAAAGGCCCGCGTACAAGGCTGGCCCCTTGGCCGGTATTTAGGAAATTGAAATTGAGAGGGTTCCCACCATTCCCTGAGAAAATGGCTAACTGTGTCTAAATTGTTTATAGAAACAATGTGGTTACTCTGAACAGATGCTTTCCTTCTGGGAGTCTGCAATTTGGGTACATGTGAGGGAGAGTAACCTCCATTTAAAACACTTGGGGACTGAGTCTCTAATGAGATTCTGGTACTGGCAGACATCACTGCGCATGTGTTGCCAAAATGAGAGGCTGGAGAATTAAGCAGATCCTAAAAACTCCACAGGAGAGAACTCCTGGAAACTTGTGCCTGGTTTCCTCCAGACTTGACCACATGCACCATTTCCCTCTAATTTTGCCTGTACCCTTTGATTGTAATAAAGAGCTGAGTAAGATTATTTTCTGAGTCCTGTGAGACCTTCTAGTGAATCACCAAACCTGGGGGTGGTCTTGGACACCCTTGGCACAAATGCATCATATAAGATTTTTATTAAGTTGATATATGTGGCTGTCATCAGGTGGTTATTTCACAGAACAACTTTCACTAATCTGTTTTTCTTTTGTTTTCTTTTTTCTCCTTGATATTTGACTTGGAGATTCTTGTATTTCTGTATCTAGCTGAATAAAGCCATTGATGTAGAAGGATTATTTGAGCTCAGAAACTCTAGACCAGCCTGGGGAATATAGTGAGACCTCATCTAAAAAATACATACATACATACCATTAAAAAAAAACTGCTAAGCATGGTGGTGTAGTCCCAGCTGTAGTGAGACCAGCCTGGGGAATATAGTGAGACCTCATCTAAAAAATACATACATACATACCATAAAAAAAAACTGCTCTAGACCAGCCTGGGGAATGTAGTGAGACCTCATCTAAAAAATACATACATACATACCATAAAAAAAAACTGCTAAGCATGGTGGTGTAGTCCCAGCTGTAGTCCTAGCTGCTTGGGAGGCTGAGGTGAAAGGATCATTTAAGGCCAGGAAGCAGAAGTGGCAGGGAGCCAAGATTGCAACACTACACTCAAACTGGCAACAGAGGGAGACACTGTCTCAAAAATAAACAGATAAAATCAATCAATAATTGTATATCCAGCTAGATGTAACCACACATGACTATGGTCCCAGCTACTCAGGAGGATGAGGTAGGAGGACTGATTAAGCCCAGAAGTTCAAGGCTACAATAAGTTGTAATTGTACCACTGAATAAACACTGTATTCTAGCCTAGGAAACATACAGAGACCCCATTTCTTAAAATAATAACAATTAATTAATTATTTAAGTAACTTGTACAACGAGAGAACTCATTCAAGTAACTTCTATATTTGGAGAAAAGCATATGACCACTGAGTAAAGTACAGCAGTCTACTACTGATCATAGAGTTCCTTTCACTTGCTTCTAATGTTTTTTTTCTTAAAAAACTGGAAACATGGTTCATGCACTGAAGCAGTTCATCACAGAACAAGTCACAAAGTCAAAAGAACTGCATCCAAAGTGTAGCATGTGTAATCTGCTGCTCCCTGCAAATAGTCGATTTGGTCATAAAGTCAGAAGGACTTTTAACTTAGTGTGTACATATGCAAGTGCAAGAGCACATGTATGTGTACATGTGTATGTGTGTGTCAACAATGACAGATAAAACCATTTTGCTTATGTAAGAATATGTAACATAACTTGTACTTCTCACAAAGGAATAGTTTTTCTGTCTTCTGCACTCAGTAGGTATCTCCAAAACATAATCTCCAGTTTGTATGGGTGCACGCTGGTTCAATTTTACAGCTCTTTTTGCCATTTACTTATGGTACAAGAAAGCGACTGTTGAGTTCCCAGTTCTAAAGATACTTTCTTGTGACAAAGATTAATATGTAATACAGTTAACCTGTGAACAGCAAGGGTTTGATCTGCAGGGGTTTACTTGTATGCAGCTTTTCTTCTGCCTCTGAGATCCATAGACAGATGAAGACCTTTGTCAGGATCCACTTACATTTTATGAAAAGTCAATATATTTTTCTGATGATTTGCTTTCTAACAGCTTCATTTCTCTACTTTGTTGTAAGAACACAGTGTATAATAATGCAGCACAAATAAAATAGGTTTTAATGGACTGTTTATGTTATCAGGAAGGCTTCCACTCAATGGTGGATTACTAGTAGCTAAGATGGGGAAATTAAAAGATATACTCAGATTTTCAACTGTACAGGGATTAGAGTCCCTAACCCGCACATTATCCATGGGTCAACTATAATTATTTATTTACTAAATACAAAAAAATTATTATAAAAATGAAATAGAAGATCCCTGTGTATAACAAGTTCAATTTGTTATAATGTGACTATAGCGAAAACATAAAACATACTAACTTAACAATCTTTTTTCTTATTTATGCAAAAATATTATATAGAATTTTAGGGATTGTAATTAAGTAAATTATTTTTTTCAGACAATACTGTTTCAGATTATAGATACAACTACCTTCTTAAATAACTCTGAATTCCAGACTAAGGAAGTTAAAATTTGAAAATTAATTTACATATATGTATATGCATATATACACTTGCAATTTACACATATTTTTAAACTGGTTGTTTTCCACTAAAACTACCTTAATCTTACATCTTTCTTTTTTATCAAGAGTAGGACCAACAAGATATAAGAGAAATTTACTACTGGAAATCTTACTTGCCTTTAAATATCTTCTTTTTAGGTTCCAAAATTTGGTGTCAAATTCTATGTATAAAAAAGTAATAAATAAAATTGGTATTATAATTCTAAAATAAAAAATATTTATCAACCATATTAAATTCTTAAACCATTTCAGGCAATATCAGCACTAATACCAGAACTTTCATTTCTATCCCATACACTTCAAAATTTTAAGCTTTACAAGTTTATTAACATTTAATTAAAGAAAAAAAGTGAAGTACTCATAAATGGAGGGAACACAGCTCAGTAAACTGACTATAGTTAACTGGACATTTTGCAAAGAGTCCTGTACTCAGAACAAGTCCTTGCCTTGTAACCAATAGGCATTTGTTTTCAGACAAGTTGCTTCTCTTAGGCTCCATGGTTTCTTCTAAAAAATAAGGATTTTGCTACCTTACTTGACTAGGTTGGTAGGAAGATGTAATGAGATTACATGCTTAAATGTTCAGAGAAATAGTAAAGCAATTGAATAATTTATTCTTGAACTTTACTGCTGAAATTATTTTGGAGTCCCAAATGAAGCTTGATGTGTGATTTTCCATAGGTTCTAATATTCAAATGTTGTCGTTTTCATAAAATGTTATTAAGTGCTAATTTTATTAGTTGTATTTATTGTGGTTTGTAATTCAGGGCATTTTAGCTAATTCACAGCTTATAACTAAATTTACATATCAATATATTATCTCATTATCATAGATAACATAATTGTCCCCTATTACTGAGCTCATCAATCACACCAAGAGCAG